TCCTGGCACATAAAAGCCCTGGACTGGATAGTTTGACAGGAGAATTTTACAGAACATTTAAGGAAGAGCTAACCCCTGTCCTTCTCAAACTATGCCAAAAAATCTGAGAAGAGGGAAGACTTCCAACTTCTTTCTATGAGGCCAGCATCATCCTAATCCCAAAACCAGATAAAGACACAACCAAGAAAGAAAACTGCAGGCCAATATTGCTGATGAACATAGACGCTAAAATCCTCAACAAAATATTGGCAATCCACATCCAGCAATACATGAAAAAGATCATCCACCATGATCAAGTGGGATCCATGCCAAGGATGCAAGGATGGTTCAATATTCACAAATCAATAAACGTAATACATCACATTAAAAAGAAAAACAGACAAAAATCACATGATCATATCAATAGATGTGGAAAAAGCGTTTGATAATGTATAGAATCCATTTATGATAAAAACGTGATTTCCAGGGCCACTATGGAAAGCAGTATGGAGATAACTCTAAAAATTAAAAATGGCCCTGGCTGGTGTGGCTAAGTGGATTGAGTGTCGGCCTCTGAACCGAAAGGTTGATTCCCACTCAGGGCACATTTGCAGGCCAGATCCCCAGCCAGGGGTGTGCAAGAGGCAACCAATCAATGTATCTCTCACACATAGATGTTTCTACACTTCTCTTTCTCTCTGTATTCCCCTCTCTCTAAAAATAAATAAAAATTTTTTTTAAAAATTAAAAATGGATCTGCCTTTTGACCCAGTAATCCCACTTCTGGGAATATATCCAAAGGAACACAAAACACTAATTCAAAAGAACATAAGGACTCCAATGTTGATTGCAACATTATTTACAATTGCCAAGATTTGGAAGCAACCCAAGTGTCCATCAGTAAATGAATGGATGAAAAAACTATGGGACATTTACGCAATGGAATACTACTCAGCCGTAAGAAAGAAAATTTTACCCTTTGTGACAGTATGTACAGACCTGGAGAGAATTATGCTAAGTGAAATAAGCCAGTCAGAGAAAGACAAATACCATATGGTTTCACTTATATGTGGAATTTAATGAACAAACTGAACTAACAAGCAAAATAGAGACAGGTTCATAGATGGAGAGCAGGATGACAGCTGGGTCAGGTTAGGGGGTGGAGGGATTGAACGAAAAGGAAAAAGGAAAAATTGACATGTTGTGCATGTCAATTGCAGCCAATTGACATGCACAACAGTGTGGTGATATTGGGGGGAAGGGGGCCTTAAGGGGACTAAATGGTAAAGAAAAAAAATAAACTTTCAGAAACAAAAAAGAGAGAGAGACAATTATGAACAACAATAAAAATTACCACAGGGGGAAAAACCTGCATTGACACAGGTGGAATGTAACTTGTAATTCAGCCTGTGGGTGGCATTACTTTTGACTGAGAATGAATGAAACCTGAGTTTGGAGAGGACCCTGACCATCATTTTGATGGTGTCTGACCATCCCAACTTTTCTGAGAATTTTTATACCCACAGCATGGATGTCTCTGTCACCATGGTCTTATGTTTGAATCACAAGTCTCCAGCCCCTTGCCCACCACTGATTGAACCAGGACTGAACCCCTGACTCAAATAAAACAAAATCTGCAGGCTTTTCAATGGCCTTTCAGATTCTCAGAAAAGAATTTGAACTAAAAAACAGACACAGAGCCAGGAGATGGGTCACCACAGTGGGGCTGTCCTGGAGCTGATCTCAGTCCCACGCTTCTTGCAGCCAAATTGCTCAGGTTTTCCTTGGATTCAATGAGAGCTGAATTCTCTCCAGAAATCCCATCTAACCTGAGTTACTGTGGGAAGGTTGCTCTTACTTTGTAACCAAAAGTAAGACTAGGAGAGCCACTTTGTTAAACTCCCCATTCCTCTTGCAATCAAGTAGTCATTCATCACTGCTTAACTATCATCAAAGCAGGAGTCTAACTATCTTGCCACACAACATATTTCATATTGGACAGCTCCACTTATTAGATGGTTCTTCTTATTTTGCATCAAAAAGTAATCCCTTTTCATCCCAATTTTTCCATTCTGGGTCATCTTTATTGTTCATTTTTTATTTACCAAAATAATGCTTGTTCCTGACTTTTAAAAACTCAAATCTTATAGAACCTTACAGACATGTTGTAATTCCCTTTCCACATGACAGCACTTCAATAGTTTGAAGATGGTGACCACCCAGGCTTCTTTCTCTGAGCTGGGAATCCTTAGTTATTTTCTTGTTTCTCACATAGTGCATAGTAACATTAAATTTTGCCCAGATCCAATTCTCAGTTGTTCTGCACTCACATGCAAATAGTACATGAGTCACGAGCAAGTCCAAGATTGAAGCCAGAACCCAGGGTGGTGAATACGATCTCATGAGTGTAACCAAGATGTTGTAATGAGACTAAAGATTTAATATAGCCTCAGAAAAGTACTTAAAAGAGGCAGAGCAATGAGGAAGGAGGAATATTAAGAAACGACATGACTGCTCCATGAATCCACAAAGCTGAGGGCTTGCATGTTGAGGATAAAGCATGAGGAGTTATCATTGAGGGAGACAATGGGAGAAAGTTGACCAGAGATAGGATATGGCAGGAAAGGGGTAGGTGGGACCTTATTTTTAAAGACTTCTTCTCAGACTCCTGCTTACCCACCATCAAGAATACAAGTTCCTAACTTGCCTTAGGGGTGCTTTCCATTCCCAGAAGTGGAGGGGGATTTCTGCTTTGGACCAGGTCCTAACAGAGATGTGGAATGGTGGAGTGGAGTGATCATGCCAACAGAGACTTTGTGACAGGAAGTGACAGGGCAGCCAACATAGCCAGGCACTTACTCTATACTTGAAGACAAAGGCATTCAGGAAAGAGACTCTAAGAGTGAAGTCAGCTCTTGAATGAAACTCTGGTTCTGATGTGGCAAAATATCCCAATGAGGAAAGGAAAGCAGAGGTGATAAAAGAAATCAACATGGTTGTAAATGAATATAGATAGAAACCTGGTTTCTAAGTTCAGAATTTTAAAATAACAGGCACCAAAGTCTGGCCAAAGAACACATGATCCAGAAGAGAAAAGATAGCTGTTGTCCTGCAGTCGTCACTTCCCTTTAGTAATAACTGATATTCTAGATAGGCCACTAGCCACCTAGCATAAAGACTACGTTTCCCAGCCTTTCTTGCAGCTAGGTGTATCTATGTGACTAAGGTCAATAGTGGAGTGTGAGCAGAAGTCTGCCTCTGGATGCCCTAAATGAAAGGGTCAGCAAACTTTTTTCTTAAATGGCCAGAAAGTAAATAGTTTAGGTTTTCTTGGCCACATTATATTCTCTCTATTGCAGCTACTCAGCTTAGACAATACTCAAGGAAATGAGGGTGGCCATGGTCCAATAAAACTGAGTTAACAAAAATAGGTGGCCAGTCCACAGGCTGCAGCTAGCTGACCCCTGTCCCCAGTCCACGTTGCAGCTCTTCTCCATGCCAGCTGGATCACAAATCAGAAAGTGAGCCCATTTGGACCATGGAGATAAAGGCAACATCTTGGGGATGGGGCAGCTATGAGTTAGAGGGAGCCTGGGACTGCGATGCCTTTGTAGAGCAAGGTTGTCATGACAATGCAGACCTTATATGAGAGAGGAATGATGCCTGTCTCATTTATATCATTATTTGGGATCTCTGATACACACAGCCAGACAACAGACAAGAAAAACAAGAGAACAGTCTTTGTCTCTTCCCTGTGGGGTTCTTGATGAACAAATGGGAAATAATGATTAACCAGGGCCCATCACCTGGTTCTCTGGCATCCCTGGCTATCTGGTTTATTCTACTGGAGCCGTAATTAGGGCCACTCCTTCTGACAAAATCTGCATCTAAAATATGCCACCCACTGACTACCAAGACTTAAGACAGGAAATAGAGTCTTGATACACACATGAGGAGACCTGGAGAGAGAGCCAGATGACCAAACTTCAAAGTTTCCCAAATTAGCTTCATGACAGGAGAGCACCAGAGAGATCAAGAAAGAAAGAAGGGTCCAATGGGCTCCGTGTTTCAGGCTCATGGAAACAGGAAATAGAAAATAGGCTGATCTGCTGTGCATAACTTGTTAGTGTGGCCCAGCCCATAGCATGGACTCTAACCAATCAGCTCTGTGTTCTCTCCTCATGGTGAAGAGCAAGATGGCACTAGAAGAAGATCTCCTTCCCCTCCCACCCACGGAGCATTGCAAATTATATTCAGAGCCAAAAAGGACAAGGAAGAGATATGTCCACAAGGACTGGTTGGAACAGATTTCAATTCCTTCTACAGGTTATGTCACCATCTGACTTCTCTCCATATGGACATCTTTTATATCTTTTCAAGATGGGACTCCTTAGTTCTCATCTAAAGGTAAGATGGGCAATAACTGACAGGTCAGGGCTGCATATGGGAATGGCATATAGAATGCTACTCTCCTAGATGTCAGCAAACACAATGTGTCCAGTGACCACATGTGCTTAAACAAAGGAGATGGAACTTGGTGAGGCTGAGAAGCTACAGTGTAGGCTGCTTCTGTCACTCAGCTCCAGCTGACAGAGGACATGTTTTCTCCCAAACAAAAAGTTTTTGGTTTTCTTTCTAAGAAAAAAGGCAAATCATTCAAGGGTGGGATAGAAAACTCACTTTATATTCTAAAGATTGCTTTTATCTCCTGAAACTTACTTTCTCAATAAGATTATTTTCTACTTCCAGAGACATCACTCACCTATATTCTAACCAAACTACATTTTTTCAAAGCCAATGCCTCAATTAGAGGAGAAGTAAACTGTGTTGAAGCACAAAAAAATAAAAAGAACAAAAAGAAAGTTAAATCAGGACATATGGTACATTTACACTTCTCTAGCATTGAATTCCATTCTTCTTTGCACTATAGTGTTCAATAATAAAGTTGTTTAATGAGTACTGAATATATATCATGTATTTTTTCTGTTATCAAAAATCTTAAAACACAATAAACATATTACCTGTGTTTTTGGTCAAGTATCTTGCTATTGCTAGGCTCTGGTGAAGATAAACTCCATCAACTTCCAAAATAGGAATTTTGCCAAATGGAAGAGCTTAAAATAAAACAAGGAAGGAATCAGCTTCCATAATAAAATCAAAAGTTACAATATCTCCATTGTTTATTGACAGTTGTGAAAACAAAGCATAATTTTGTTTTTAAAAAGTTTTTGTTTATTGATTTTTTTTAGAGAGAGAGGGGAAGGGGGAGAGAGAGAGACATTGCTTTGTTGGTCCACTTATTTATGCATTCACTGGTTGATTCTTTTTAAAAAAATATTTTTATTGTTGTTCAAGTACAGTTTTCTCCATTTCCCCTCCACAACTCCCTCCACTCCACCCATCCCCACCTTCCACCCTCGATCCTACCTGCTTTTGGCTTTGTCTGTGTGTCTTTTATACATGTTCCTTGATGATCCTTTCCCTTTTTTCCCCTGTTATCCCCCCTCCCTCTCCTCTGGTTACTGTCACTTTGTTCTTTATTTCAATGTCTCTGGTTATATTTTGTTTGCTTGTTTGTTCTGTTGATTAAGTTCCACTTATCATTGGTTGATTCTTGTATGTGCGCTAACTGGGGGTAGAACTCACAAGCTCAGTGTATCAAGACAACATTCTAAAAAAACTGAACTATCCAGCCAGGGCTACAAAGCATGATTTTAAAATCATGAATTCTTGAAGATTTATCCTAAAAGGGACATAAAGCACCCATGAGTGGAATCTCTACATTTTATAAGTTTTAAAAAATAGGGTTGTTTATTAGAAGACCTGCTATAACGGTCATGACAGAACCAGGTTTAACACCCAGGTTTACTGTAAAACTCTATATTATACCATACATTATCTTATATACTTACATATGTTTACTTTTTAATTCTTTAAAAAAATGTTTTCTGTTTAAAGCTTCATTAATTTTTGAGGCCTTACTCAGGGGTCACATTAATTATTTTTTAAAATAGTCTGAGTAATATGAAGAGTTTGACTTATGTTATGATTTAGAAATCATTTTTTTGTATTGACCCAGCAATTTCACTGCTGGGAATATACCCTAAGAATCCCAAAACACTAATTCGGAACAATTTATGCACCCCTATGTTCATAGCAACACTATTTACAATAGCCAAGATTTGGAAACAGCCTAAGTGCCCATTGTAGAGAAATGGATTAAAACCCTGTGGTACATCTACACAATGGAATACTACACAGCAGAGAGAAAGAAGGAATTCCTGCCTTTTGCAACAGCATGGGTTGAACTATTATGCTATTATGAGACTATTATGCTAAGTGAAATAAGTCAGTTAGTGAAAACCAAAAACCATATGATCTCACTTATAAGAGGAATTTAATGAACAAAATTAACTAATGAGCAAAATAGAACTAGAATCATGGAGTCAAGAAATAGACTGACAGCTGTAAGAGGAGAGAGTGGAGGTAGGGACTGACTGAAAGAAGATAAAGGCATTAGTCAAAGAGCATACATGAAGGACCAATAGACATAGACAACAGTGTGGATATTGACTAAGGAAGCAGGGGATGGGCTGGGTGGAGGGGGACAAGAGGGGAAACGTGGGACAAATATAATAGCATGAACAATAAAACATTAAAATAAACAAGTAATAAAAATAAAAAAGGAAATCTTTTTTGATGAGGGACTATTTGAACTATATAGTAAGGCAGCAAAGATATTTGTACAAATATAGGACAGACTCATAGCAGATACCATATTAATATTTTATCTGTAAGTCTTACTTTGTTTTTTTATCTAAACATTATATTTTTGTCAGAAAGTAATATATATTATAGAAAAATTCTACATTAAAAGTAAATAAAGATAGCATACTGCATAATTATAACCATCTTAGTATTTAATTGCTTTCCCATATATATTTTAAAAAACAAAATTACAGTGCATATAACTGAGATTTTATGGAAAAGATATAAATTTTTATCATCTTTAAACCATTTTTGTGTTGTGTCTCTGTTATTTGAGATTATACCCTAGCCATCACAAACTTTAAGATCCCTTTCAATTTTATAAAAATATTAAGAAAATGCAGCAGTTCCATTTTCAATAACATAATGAAAATTTAAGGTAAAATAGGGTATGAAGCATTCTAAAGCCTTATATCTAAAATGTGTAATTTCTTATATGCATCATTTCCATAGCTTGAAAACCATCTTGACTTAGTTATGTTCACAGAATTAAAAACCCCACATAAAAATTGTGATATTGGAAGAAATATTTGGATATTAATAACAAAGTTTCATGGAAACAGAAAATAAAATATTCTATCCCAGCAGAGAAGAATTCTCTGATAAGAAAAAGGAAGTGATTACAGAGGCAGTGACTTTCAAGGAACTCATGCTTCCAAAAGGAATTTAAGAATATTTATTGTTAATATAGCATTTAGCATGGTGTTATTGTTGTTGGCATTATCTACTAGTGCAAGAAACTTGGACTCTAGTATTCAATTGACCGTGTTTGAAAATCAGCTCTTCCTTGCTAGGGCTGTGATCTTTGAAAAATTACCTAAACTCTGTATGCTTATAGTTATCCCAACTATAAAATAGAAATAATAACTCATTCCATGTAAGCACATTAGAGAAATTAAATGAAGTAGAGTAGAAGTCTGTAGAGTATCTACCAAGTGCCAGATAGTCTTCAAGCACTCAATAGTTGTCTTCTTCATCTTTATCTTTATGTGACTTTGAAACAACCCAGTTGTAAATAGGTGGATTTTAGACATATAATTAATATTCAGGTAGTATTTCTAGATAATATGGCTAACAGATGACTTACAGCTTACTGAGATCCACATGCTATTTAATGTAATGTTTAATGTAATATTTCCAATCCTTTCTCATTGTCCTGAGTACTAAGTAGGATGTTTTGATTGGGTTACCAACCCAGTTTGCCCATTTGCTCTTTTCCCTGACAAAACAGATACCAGTTTTGTTTGTGTATCCACCCCTCTTTCCTCAACCTCAGAGGGGCACTAGATGGTTCTAAGATTCTTCCCATCCCCTTTGCCAATGACTGATTCAGAAATGGACACATGACTCAATATGAGCCAGTAATACATTAGAAATTTGCTGAGGTCTTCTGGAAAAGTTTTTCTTTCATTCTTTTGGGAATACTTAAGGAAGCAGTTTTCTCTCTTACTCTTTCTCATATATCCTCTAAATATTGCTGTTCAGCGTTATGAGGCTGGAACTGCAGCAAACACACTGCTACTGGTCTCATGATGCAGCCAACACATAGAGGAGGAAAATGGATACAGTCATCCTTTGAAACCTGTTCTACTTCTGGATTTTCAGTTATGTGATACAATTCATTTCCTTATTATTTAAGCCATTTTGAGTTTGGTTTTCTGCTAGAGCAGCACATCTGATTCACTGACAAAGCATTATAGATATCCGTAGCAACCCGATCCAACTCCAATTGCCAAGAATATTGACTTTGGTATTCCCCCATTTCAGGTCTTGTGACAAAACTTCATATTGGTTTATCTTTATAGTCTCTTTCTTTGACGTTTGTATTTTTACCTTGAAAAGGAAATTTTCTGGGTCTCATAGCATTTACCTAACTTGCCTGAACTGCTGTACTCAATATAAATCTATGTGAGATTAAAATCCTTATTTTTTTCACTTCTCTGAGGAAAGAAAACATTCTGAAAACATATTTTTCCTACATTTTCATCAGCTATTATTTGTGCTACTTACTTGGTTTGATTTCAGGCCAATCAGCTTGTTCTATTCTGTGGTCTTCATATTTTATGTCCAAATATGCAAATATGTAACGAATAATTTCAGCTCTTCCCCTCATATTAAAATAAGTGAGTTTATAGCTTGGCATTATGTAATTCTGGAAAGAGAAGAGTAGAGAAATTATTTTTACATCCCTCTAGGGATGTTTCAACATTTTTATTTGGAAACATTTCAAAAACTTAGTGGCATCTTTTGAGATAACTGGAGATATTAGAAGGTATTTCAAAACCATAATTATAAATCCCATCCTAATAACATATAGGAATGACTTCAAATAAGACTGTGACTCTCTTTTTAAGAACTAGCTGGAACATTCCAGTGAAATGACCAAATTCAAAATATATTTATAAAAAGACTTCTGAGTAAGAGATCTGCACAGTAACCTTCAGAGGATGGAGTCAAACCTTTTTATTTCAAGATGTTTTTGTCCTATTTATAGTTACTTGTAATGGATGGTGTTTGACATTTGGTGTGTTGTTTGCTTTGCTGACACAGCTGAGTTTGTGAGGACAGCTAGGTAAGGATTCCAAGGGCAGGGTACACGCAGCAGGAACATGAGGCAGCCATGCCAACTTTTGATTCCCTCCCTTTCCTCACCTGTGACTTTTCCCTCCAGGAACCAAAGGCTAGGGAAACATTGCACTCTTTTCTTTCTTACTGATCCATGCTACCGGCTCTATTGGGTTGCTTGCCCCATACAAATATACCCTATCTTGGGAACATCTGCTGGGATGGGGCAATGCTGAACATATTCCTCCATTCACTCATTAGAGGAGCAAGGAAGAAAGAAAGCAAACTTTTCTTATATTTTAGAGAGTTTTCTAATACTAGCTATATTGGCTAGATGTAGGTCATTTTAATTTTGCGAGTTTTCTGTGACTTGTATAATGTCATTTCCATTGTTTTTAAACAATTTTTAAGCACTCTTAGTAAATTGTATTGTAATTGTATAATAATTAGGAAACTGAGAAAAAAACAATTTCATTTGAAATTCAGTTCTTCTATTAGTTGCTGTGTATTTTGGGGCTAGTAAACAAAATCTCACTGAAGTTTATATTCTACTTTTTATAGATAAAGATACTAATATGGATTTGGGGATTTAAAGAGGTAGTACATGTAAAGCATTGAAAACAATGCTAAATACTTAATATTTATTAACTATTAATAATAATAATTTTGAACTGGTCTTATAATAAAGAATAAACACTGTGAATATAGCACATTAAAAATAAATAATAATTATAGTAATTTCATAAATAAAAATAACAATTATTTAAAGTGGCAAGTTGAAATGTTTTATTCTCTGCTAAATAGGTCTTCAAAAATATTAACAAGATATTAGATAAAAAGAAAAGTTGAGCTTAAGCCTCAAAGTTCCACCTGAAATCATATCATATAAAATGTCAAACACAAATCATAAAAACCTAGATTACTAACTTCATATTTCAAGTTCATGCATTTATGGTGTCTATCAGTGGAGAGGATGACAGAGGAAAAACTGTCTGGTTGCCCATTCACACTCCCTCAGGATACAGGAAATGAAGGTGATGGTGATTTCTACGGAATCCACTTCTCTGGGCGCAGGTTCTCCATATGCAGAGGTTGTGGACTGCAGGTGGTGTTCCTTGTTAAAAAGAGTCACCCTAATCATTCTGGTCCTGTCCCGCTCCCATTAGCCAGTCCAGTCTCCACCCAAGTGAAATGTGGTGCATGGTGCACATATCAATATGTGAGGGAATGTTCCCTGTAGAGAGGAGAATTCACTAGAGTAAACTAACAAATATTCCAAGATTTACAGCCCTAAATTCCTCTGGGGAAGAAATACACACAGGAAGCTCAGAGTTGGGAACTAAATGATTTGCCCATCAGAACAATGAGAGTATTTTCAAATCCCTTAGAAATGCTGAGCTTAGAAGTAAATAGTGGGAAAGATATGAGAGTACAAAAATGTAAATTAAAAATGTGAAGTGGTAGATTCCCTTCTGAAAAAATAAGAGAGATTTTATGTAATCATAATAAAGGTAAAATTCTTATCTAGGAAGGAAATAAAAAGCATAGTCGTTACAGCTCCTTGGTCCATGTTTTAAATCTCAAAAAAACAAAAACAAAAATCTTCAGAGTGGGACAAGTATCATTCTGTGTTGCAGTTTCTATTTGAAAAGCACTTTACACAATTTTTAAAATTGACTTTTATGAATATATATGCATGGCCTATGGACATGGACAACAGTGTGGGGATTGCTTGAGGGAATGGGGGACTCTGGGTGGAGGGGGAGCAAAAGGGGAAAAATTGGGAGAACTGTAATAGCATAAACAATAAAATATATATTTTTAAAAAGAAAAAAATAAATTGACTTTTGTTTTCATAAGTCAATGGTTCCATGACAAAAAAGAAGTTACATATTTTTCTTATAAAGAATATATGTAGATGTAGATTCATATGTGTTCATTATGGTCAACATTAAAATTTAAACATATAACCTTTTCTCACTTGGTCAAATGCCACATAAATATCAATGTCTAACTCCTGAATTCTACACGAAAACAAAGGGGTTGCTCGTTGTTAATTTGCAGCATAATGTTATTTTATATTGTATTTCACTCAAGTAAAGAAGATATTTAAAAACTCTTGGCATAGATTGGTAATTATCTACATTTCTCTGCAAATATATCTTTAAATCTAAGATTTGGCACAGTTCTGTGAACATCTGACAAATGCTTATCTTGACCTCCAGAACATCCTTTCAACAGTCAGAACTCATTAATGAAGCTGTACTGGCATACTGCATTCCTGTAGTTACTTGTAAAATTATTTTTTCCACCAAACAAAAATGTGCATTCTTGATTTCCACATCTACAAACCCTAAACTTGAAGATTTTTGTTTTTCAGGACATATGTGCACATTTTTATAACAACAATAACAGAAAAAAAGAGTAAAGGTAAATGCAGGTGGAGATAGTTACTTATTTTTAAAATCCTTTTTATATTTTGCAAAGCTTTTCCATAAAAACTAACATTAGGAGTTTCAAAAGACACACAAAGACTGAAAGTAAAGGAGTGGAAAAGATATTTCATGAAAATGGAAACAAAAAAAAAGCTCAGGAAGCAATACCTATACCGAATGAATAGACTTTAAAACAAAGCCTATAATAATAAATAAACAAGGACCCAGCAACTCTACTTCTGGGTATTTATCTGAAGAAATCTAAAACAATAGTTGAAAAGATATATACATTCATATGTTTATAGCAGCATTCTTTATATAGACAATATATGGAAGCCACCTATTATCTATTGTCCATCGATAAATAAATGGATAAAGAAGTGGTGTATATATACAATGGAATATGACTCAGCCACACACACAGCAAAAAAAAAAAAAAACCCAGAAATTTAAAGTAAGTGTTTTGATAGCCAATAAAAATAGTTAAGGGAATTTACAATAAAGTCTGACGATAAGTATAGAAGACAGTGTCTAGAATTTTATATATACATGTATATATATATATTTCCCTTTTACTGCATTTAGCACTGTCTCTGTCACAATAATTTCACTTTATTAAAGTCTTTATTTCCTAAGGACAATGGACCAAAAGGATGAAAGTAAAACATATCCCAGCCCCCACCAAGAGGTGCAGCAAGGAACAAGTTCAAGGGTGAAGGGAAGATACAGTTGTGGAGTCATCCCTGTCACTTTCTACCTGAATGGTCTTGGGCATGTCGTCTGTTCTTAGCTTTAGTCTCCTTATCTGTAAAATGGTAATGAAAACATTGTGTGTAAAATACAGTGCTTGGCACACAGTATTAGTTGAAAGAGAAAGGAGAGAATAGACACTTCTCCAAAGAGGACATACAAAGGACCCAGAGGCATATGAAAGGATGCTCAGCATCACTAGCCATCAGAGAAATATGAATTAAAACCACCGTGAGATACCATTTCACACCGGTCAGAATGGCCATCATTAAAACAAATCAACAAACAAGTACTGGTGAGGTTGTGGAGGAAGGGGAACCCTAGTACTCTGTTGGTGGGGATGCAGACTGGTGCAGCTTCTGTGGAAAACAGTACAGAATTCCCTCAAAAAACTAAAGATGGAACTGCCTTTTGGTCCAGCGATCCCACTGTTGAGACTATACCCTAAGAATCCTGAGTCACCAATTTGAAAGAACCTATGCACCCCAATGTTCATAGCAGCATTATTTTCAATAGCCAAGTGTTGGAAACAGCCTAAGTGCCCAGCAGTAAATGAGTGGATCAAAGAGCTGTGGTACATTTACACAATGGAATACTATCCTGCAGAAAGAAAGAAGGAACTCCTACCCAGCAGAAAGAAAGAAGGAACTCCTACCCTTCGTGGCAGGATGGATGGAACTGGAGAGCATTGTGCTAACTGAAATAAGCCAGATGGTAAAAGATAAATACCATATGATCTCACCTATAAGTGGATCCTAATCAACAAAACAAACAAATGAGTACAATAGAACCAGAGACTTGGAAATAAAGAATAAACTGACAGTTACTAGAGGGGAGTGGGGAGGGAGATAACAGGGGATAGAAGAAGAAGGGTCAAGCAAGGGAACACAAATAGAGGACTCATGGGTACAGACAATAGAGACAGATTGACTGTGGGAGTTGGAGGGCACAATGGGGAAGAAAGAGGCACAACTGTAACTGAATAACAATAAATTTTAAAAAATAAATAAAAACAATATACAACTAAAAAAAAAATAGACAATGAGCTTAACAATGACAGCTCATCTCCTGAGCCTTCACTATGACCTGCAGGAGACTCCTCTAGGTAATGCTGAAAAAAAAAGAAAAGAAAAGAAGGAAGGAAGAAAAGAGAGAATGAAAGGGGAGAGAGGGAGGGAGAAAGAAAGAAAGGGAGGTGTGGTTCCTATCCTAGTAAAGGTGGGACTCCAGCTTTGTGTGATTTGACTGAGCTCAAATCTTCAGGATCATGTTCTTTAGCAAACCTATCCCACTGCAAGCACATAAAAATAAAAAATGAAATATAAAAAGAAAATATATAGTTAGGATTAAAAGCAACATGAATTTTGCCTTGGCCAAAATGAACAGAAACAAATGCAGTGAG